AATTTTTACACATTAATTGGTTAATGGTAAGTTTCCCTATTTCCCTATTACATTTAAGGTGATTTTACAGTAAAATATTATTAAATGTACAGTTTGTGGAATTGTAAAAGAACAGGTCATCTTATAATTTATAGTGAAAAACTGTAAACTGACATTCACATAATTCTCTGTTTGACAGGTCACGTGTTTCATATATATATATATGAATGCTAAATGCATAAATTATTATTAATTATTATTAAATTATGTATATGTATATGTATGTATATATATATATATATATATAGCTCATTTTGTTTAATTCATGTTAAATTTCCTTCAGCTGGTGGAAGAACTTCAGGATTTTCTTTTCTTTTTGTAAAAAAAAAAAAAACGTGTAAATGGTCAAATTTGGGGTCTACCTCAGGCACAGGGAACCACAGGAAACAGTTGGCCGGCAGTGACCACGGGCCATGACCCGTTCCCGTATAGAACTGGGCATTTTGTAGTGGAAGCCTTCCACTGCTGTTCCAAGTCTGTATCACGTCCATATCTTCTGGCATTGACATGTCTGTGATCCCAAACACAGAGGACGCACTTAGTAAACAAAGAGAGAAACGGAATGAACAATGAGAGACAGGACTAATGTAAGTAAATCATCTTCACCAGTGCCTGGACCCGTGGCCTTTGTCTGTGCGACAGTGGCATCCTTGTGGTATATATGGCATTTGGCATTGTCAAGAGGGCCAGCTGCATTCTGCACGCCCCCAGTACCACTGCCAGCCCGGGTCTGTGCCATGTGGGCACCATCTGCACTCCTGCCCAACTCCACGTCTCCACCTTAGGAAGAACAGGTGACAGGATTAATACAGGAGGATCGTGAATACTAGGCAAATCCAAATGCCATTTTCAAAGCCATATGCCACATTAAGAAAGGAAAATCACCAAATAAAAATGTACATATGAAGTACTATGTCAACATCAATGCCTCTTTAAATGCTTTAGTGAAGGTTAGCATACATAATAAATGGATCAAAATAAATCAAAACTGAATTGGTCCCCAAAGGCTAATTAATTGTGTTAAACTGATGCACAATCTTAAGATTTTTTTATATAAATACACTAACAATCTGCACGTACCCTTTGGCCTTTAAGATGCAGAAACATTGACACAAGTAAAGGGAGAATAAGAGATGGCAGGAGAGAGAGGAAAGAAAAACATGAAGATTGCAAATCGATTGTGTTTAGACCGCTATTACAAACGGATTCCATTACCAAGAGGAAATGGATATATTGATTTAGGCCAATGCTCTCTTCTTTGTTTTTTTTTTATTTTCAAAATAATGAGTGACTTTTTGGGTTTGAGGAGCTCCTTTTGTGCCCCGAGGAGAGAGTTGACTGAGCACCACCCATAGCATTTCTTACAAACAAAAACAACACTTTCCCTCTGAGCTAATGCAAGTCGTACATCAGTGCCATGCAGTGTCACTACCAAAGACTCCCAAACCGACAAGACGGCATGAGGTTGATTGTTATCGCTATGGAACCCTTACCTTAAATGGTGTTTCCATAATTGCTATACTGGAATAAACTACCGAGACACAATATACCAATATAAGTATGTCTGTTTTTGTCTGTAAGATGAAAACTACTCGTACTGAAAAACTTGTCATTTTGCAATATATTTAACTCACAGCTGCACAGTACAATAAGTTGGAATGGAGGTTGATATGACTCTGGTGGTATCCACTCATTATTCAGTCACTGCATTTCCCCCCAACACGCACACATACGTTAAGTAATGAACAGCTGCAGTGTGGTGCTTCATGTGTGTTGTGGGCATGTAAATGCAAAGGTCTGAGTGTTTATGAGTGTGAATTTGTGTATTCTGTGACTCTTTCTAGATGTTATATTTTTACACCAGTAGGTGGCAACATGTATGTACGAGCTGACATTGAGTATGTAACTTTTTTCAGAATATTAGCATGATTGCGAATGTCTTATTGATTTATAAAACAGCTAAGTAAACAATAAGTTAAAATTTTGAGCTACATTTTAGTTTTTACTTTTTGCCAATTCTGCAATTTCCAAATTAATCCACAGCATAACTGTTTTGCGTGTCCAAGCAATACAGTGGTGCTTTTATAACTGAATAAATCAGTATTTTGAATGAATCAGTTTAATGAATGATTCAATGACAAAATGAATCAGCCGTTTGAATGAATTGTTTGAATTGACTTGTTAAGACTTGCCACCACCAACTGTTGGTTTTAGTTTCATATTTAAAGTATCTCTTTTTTCAGTTTAAGGGAAAATATTGCCTCGAAGGAGTTAAGTTAATTTCTGTCACTACTGTGAACTAACCACTGCACAGATATGAAAAGCTTCGGGAGTCATTGGTCCATTACAGGACAAACTAGTCAGCACCAGCACAAAAACACACTTTGGAAAATATCATCTAATTGTCATTATTGACAAAATCTAAAAAAAAATAGCTATTTTTGTCGGCATAAAACTGGCAATATTGCGTCTAGATGTAACTTACTCAATATTAACTTATTGTTTCCAGTTGCCAATGTCACACAATAATGCTTGCCTTCTTGTTCATCAGTAATTTATCAGAAACAGCCCAAGCTGTCCTTGCTAGCTCTAACGTGCTGTTTTTGAATTAACGTGATTAAGTAGATCAGATCACCCAACCAGAACAGCAAGTTTACATCTATCCATCAATTTGCCTCTGTATACTTTTCTTAGTTAAAATTACACTTTTTGAAACCGTTATATACATATCTTTGAATTTTAGTTCATTTCAAATCTGCTTAAATTGAAATTTGTTGCATCCTGCTTGTTACTACAATTCAAATGTTAAGACTTGCCACCACCAACTGTTGGTTTTAGTTTCATATTTAAAGTATCTCTTTTTTCAGTTTAAGGGAAAATATTGCCTCGAAGGAGTTAAGTTAATTTCTGTCACTACTGTGAACTAACCACTGCACAGATATGAAAAGCTTCGGGAGTCATTGGTCCATTACAGGACAAACTAGTCAGCACCAGCACAAAAACACACTTTGGAAAATATCATCTAATTGTCATTATTGACAAAATCTAAAAAAAAATAGCTATTTTTGTCGGCATAAAACTGGCAATATTGCGTCTAGATGTAACTTACTCAATATTAACTTATTGTTTCCAGTTGCCAATGTCACACAATAATGCTTGCCTTCTTGTTCATCAGTAATTTATCAGAAACAGCCCAAGCTGTCCTTGCTAGCTCTAACGTGCTGTTTTTGAATTAACGTGATTAAGTAGATCAGATCACCCAACCAGAACAGCAAGTTTACATCTATCCATCAATTTGCCTCTGTATACTTTTCTTAGTTAAAATTACACTTTTTGAAACCGTTATATACATATCTTTGAATTTTAGTTCATTTCAAATCTGCTTAAATTGAAATTTGTTGCATCCTGCTTGTTACTACAATTCAAATTCATTTAAAATGTAGGAGCTGAGCTGGAAACTAAATGACCATGAGAGCATTAATGAAAACATATTAGGTTTTGGATTTAAGCTTGAATTAAAGTTTAGTATTAATAGACACGGTGGAGGAGTGTGGTGTGGACATTAAGCAATGTCAATATCACGATTACCTTTAAATGTGCGATATTTAGGTATTATCTGCTCATCTGCCATTTGGAACTGTGCAAACACGGGTAGATGGGAATGTTGTTCTTCCAGTATAACTTTTTCTCTGCATGCACTTCCTGTTTCTGGGGAACTATGTTGGTCAATGAAACCCTGGGCTGTTTGGGCTTCTATCTTTGGGGCTGTTTTAGCCGAGACTCTTGTATGTTCTTTTTGATTTAGTTTTTGAGCCCTCTGTGGTTTGCCACCATGCAATTGGATGTTTGGTTTTCCTTTTAAGACAGTTGCTTTATAGCACCATTAAACGCAGAGTATTGTTAGTGCTTATCGCTGTTAGTCGATAGCTGCATTACGGAGCCTGTTCTCTGTCCTAGTTCCTAGTCTAGTCTTGAGATTGCCTGTTATCTGATTATCTGCCTGTCTTGGATTTTTCTCTCATCTTGACTATCGCCTGTTTGTGGATTACCCGTTTGCCTTGCCCTTTGGATTACGTTCACCATAGATTGAGCCACGCCTGTTTACCTAACTGCTCTTTTGTCTTGCCCTCGATATAACTGTGTGCCTTTGTCTGACCCTAGCCTGTTTCATGACCATGTCTTTAAATAAAGCTTTGCAGATGGATCTGTACGCTTCACGCTCTGATTACTCTGATTAAGCGTACAGATCCATCTGCAAAGCTTTATTTAAACATCTTAAAAGACACTTTGTTGGTCCTAACTAGGCTACATACCATCACATACCATCACTGTTGATATTTCACCTTATGGTGAAATTTCACATTATGCTTGTTGCTCGGTAAATTGTGTTTCTTTCATTGCATATTAAGCAGTACGTTTGTCTTTCAATTTTAGGCCTATTAAATTAAATTACATTAAATTGTTATATTATAAATTTTAATCATATAATGCATTCTTACAATCATAGATTTTATTGTTTATGTTGTTTGCACACTTTTGCAAAGGCTAGAGAGAGAGAGATGCTGTAAACTCGTACTGCAATCTCGCTCTTCATTTCATATGCTTAAGTCTTGAAACAGTGAGCCCCGAGGTGGAAATCCCTTAACGATTATTTTCACGCCTGGAAATTATTTAGACAGTGATGAAGGCTGTAAACTTCTACGAGTGGGCGGTGACAGCGAGTGTATCCTAACGCTCCTTATAGTGACTCGTTGGGAGAAAGACAGAAACGTGGATTTTCAGCGTTGTATTAATTGGAAATTAAACTTAAACGCGCGCGTGGGGCGAGTGTACGGGCATATGCCGCATCATGCGTTTGAGCTTGAAGACACCATACAGTTCACCTTATCAGCTCTTCAGGTTTTAGGAGAGAACGCGTCTATTAGAATCCGCTCACCCCGCGGCTCGCTTGAGATGGTTCAGTCCAGCTGCGAGGGTCCAGTCTTCATGCACTGGGATTTTTCTCAGCGCCGACACCAAGTGAATCTTTCTTTTAAAACCATCTGATAACCGTGCCTGCCAAAAAAAAGCCCACCATGCGCGCCTCTTTGAATCTTGACAGAACGGGACTCGTGAGGACAGAGTGCAGATGTACATATAACGGGACGAGGAAACTGGATGGTATAAGGATTTTTGCGCTAATGAAGGTGGGAGTACAGGCGCATCACTGGAGCGGGGTGCTGTTCTTCTATATGGGGCTGCTGGCTGCATCGGTTAAGGGTGAGTTTCCCGTTATGCTGCATGTGGTCCTGTTGCCGTGAGCGCGACCCTCTTGGAGGCTACATATGTGACCCTTTTACTCCTGACATGTGGATGGAGTGCTGTCATTGTCAATTCTGTGGCAATGGCATGTAATGTTGGGTCGTGCGTTTTATTGGTACGGATCTACCAGGCATCAATGGATATAAGCAGAAGACTCGCTAGAGATACATACCAGTCAATTACATGAAGAGGTCGTACATAAAGTAGCCAAGTGTGTCATTTATTTGTGCGTGAATGTCTTTCAATGCAAAACAGCCTTGTGTACTTTTCATAGTGCATTTGGTGTTATTTCTTGCCAACCTTGGTCTGCCCCATGTAGGCATAATATGTTGCATTATGCTTTGAATAACACCTCAGAGCAATATGTTGGATTTTTGATGGGTGCGCAAGAAGTGGTGTTTTGGTTTTAAGGCAAAATGGGTTAATGGATAAACATGTAGACGAACCATTTCCGAAAAATTGTGTGTGTGTGTGTGTGTGTGTGTGTGGGGGTGTGGGGGGGGGGGGCGCAAGATTTCGTGAGTGTGGGAGCCAAGAGTGAATGAGTGAGTTTGGGAGGAAGGGGGGCGTATGTGGAGGCTGGAGAGAAAAGGGGGTTTCATGCCAACAAAACAAGTCTTTGACTCTGCGCTATTTTCAACATTTATTTGACCATAATAGGGATATGCTTCCTCCGTCCAGTTCATCAGCCAAGTCATTATCTTAGGAATCATTAGCCTATTTGTTGCGTTTCTTGAAATTGTAGCATTTCCAACCAATATCCATCCATCATTTACCTTGAAGGGAATTTGCAGTAAGAGTGCTGATGGTTTTAAGCCCAAATTTAGCTAAAAACAAGTGTCAAGATATATACACTGAAAGGATTTATAGTTTCCCTTTTAACGCCGTGACTGTCGTTCTATCATCTCATTTTCTCTTCCACGTAAGCGAAGATAACAAAAAGTCACACAGGTTTGGAACAGCATGAGGCTAAATTGACGACAGATCATTTTTATACATTATTTTTGATTGAACTATCCCTTTAATTCAGCAGCATATTGAGCAGTGTCGCGCTACTGAGATTCAAGTCTTGTTTTCCTCAGAGTTGATGATAGTTAGGACATGATGATAAAAGTGGTAAAAGAATCCACAAAGCCGGTCGACATTTTATGTTTACACATAATATGGTGTCTAATCAGTGCTATCAAGAGCAGAATGTACTGCGTTTATGACCGATTCCGGAAAGCGTTCGCCAAGCCGTCAAGCAGTTTCCCTCTTTTTCCATTGAGCGGCACTAAAGCTTCAGAATAGCTACGCTTACACATAGCCGGCAGTGGAGTCTCTCATGCTTCATTAATAAACCGAGTTTATCTTGGAAGCCTTTTAGAGTTTTCGTGTTAGAGCATAAGCTATGACTGGTGAAATAAAACTGACTTTTTTTCTAGCTGGAAGGATATGCAAATTTAATGCCTCTTCAGCTACTGGGGCATGACTGAACTCATCATGTAAAAAAAGAGGGCATACAATAAAGTGCACGAAATGTTTTTAAATGTAAATAGTTTTAACCGGAAAAATGTACAATACGAACTGTTTTGGTTAAGTGACCATGTAGTCTACAGTAAAAATGACAATATTTCTGAAAATATGCATTCCATTTTACTGTAAAATCTGTTTTGGAATATGGAGTGTGTGTGTTTGTGTGTGTGTGTGTGTGTGTGTGTGTGTGTGTGTGTAAAATTTAATATTTATAGTAAAATATTGTGAACCAGATGATACGTATAAATCTCCTTATAAACTTATAACCATCACATTTATTTGGGTTTTATTTAAAAAGTTAGTTTATTCTTATTTTTGTTTGAACATGAAGTTGTTTGTTTCTTTTTATGCGGTTCATTTAATGTTTATAATGTTATATGCAGCAGTTCCGACAGTCCCAGATGGCAGTTATTTTCTTAGATTTTTATAGTGACCTTGTAGTCTTCATCTTTTCAAAAGTAAAATATTTGAACTTAAAGAAATATATATTATAAAATAATCCCATTAATTTGTTTCTGTCATATACTGTAGTGTGAAAGAAGTTATTTGGTTAATCATGTGCTCTTGCTCAGCATCAGAAGTCACTTCTCTGGAGACATTGAAGTGAAGATGATATTATTTTTTCATATTTTAGCCAAACAATATCACTAACAACTAATCATCATGGTTGTTTGGCTCAATCCCATTTTCCTTGCCCAGAATCTTTAATAGTCGATGACACTTGACTTCATAAAGTGGTCAAAGTCACGAAACCAATGCATTTACATGATGCAACTTGGTGTAAGGCTCTACTGAACACGAAAATTTGTAAGCATGCAGAGAAATCTTTTCATCATGTTGGAGGGAGCTTGCCACATGTATTCAGTTTTGGCCAGTCCCTTTGGTTGTTTGAGCATACACAATTTTTTAACTTTTGAGAATATTTATTTAGAAAATGTCAAGCTCCCTTGAAACCCAAGCAGAGATTGTGCACTCTTGTTTTGAAACAAGGTCCAGTGCTATGTAAGCATGATACATTTGTCAGCTGACCAGTAACAGATGTTTAAAGGAGACTTGAAGGAATCGCTTAGAGCAGCTTATGGGTGCTGGTGTTCTCTGACACTTCAGCACCACGGACAGCTCCCCTCCAGCTCTGCTCATTGCTACTGGTTGCCTTCACAGATGACTCAAAGTCTGCCTTAGCAAACAAAGACTTGTTAGACATATTTTGTGCAAAGTAACACTGAGAACAAAGTAACACTAAATGTTTGTCTGAATGTAACCGTCGGCTTCTGATTTGACTTTTAGAGTCTGCAATCCAATTAGGACCACGGACAGCTCCCATCGGAGCATTTAGCACAGCTGTACACCGCACAAGCTGGTTCTCTCAAAAGGGGACAACTCTAACACTCAAATGGTGTTATGTGTCATAGAAACCTCCTTCACTATAATATTCTGTCACTTTCATACTTGCTAACATTTGTTTTACTCATGTCATTGCTTATTCATCTCTTCATTCCTCTCCATCCTCTTTTTATAGCACAAGCAGGCATTATAACCTGTTCCAAGAAAATTAAATCCTGCCAATCTGTTTGCTTAGACTTTAAAGGTAAAGACTGCTAAACAGGTCTGTTGTTTGCATGCATCTCCCAAAGGGCTGAAGGATGCCTTTGGCAAGAAATGAGATTATTTGTTTACACAGCTACCTGTACATTAATAGTACACCAAAAGTTTCCCTCATTTGAATGCACTACAGTTAACATCAGATACATGTGTGACTTTATGGACATCATATTAAATGGATATTTCTGCACTAATAATTTTGCAATTTACTTGCCCTCATGTCGTTCCAAACCTGTATGACTTACTTGCTTTATTCTGCAGAACACAAAATGTGTTTTGGTCATACAATATAAGTCAATGGCGTCCAAAACAACACTGGACTTTGAATTTCATTGTACAAAAAAAAAAAAAACTTTCCAGTTTCAAAATATCTTTCACAGAAGAAAGGAAGTCGTACAAGTTTGGAATGATATGGGGATTAATAAATAATGGCAGAATTTCATTTTTTGGCAAATTATCCTTTTAAAGTAGAAGACAACAGTTAAATTTATTATTACACAGGGTTTACTGGGCATACATAGAAATGCTTTTGATGAAGCTGAGATTAAAGAACAGTACAGGCAGTTCTGCACACAAACACAGACACAATATGTAACACAAAACGGTGAAAAAAACTATATAAAGTGTACAAAAAGAATGGAATGTGAAACTTTCTATATGTAAAATGGCAAAAATGGTTGACTTCATTGTCTTTGTAGCTGTTCTATGTTCTTTGTCTTGTTTGAGTATAATGATTGTGAAATACATGCATATGCTTTCAGATAAATTTACATAGATATGGAAATGCAATTATTATGGCTCAAGAGGTTTTCAGCTTGGATCTGTGAAATGCATGTAGGCTTCCATTATGGTACAAAGCTAAGACCCGGGTTAAAACACAAACCAAAGAAAATATGTACCTGACAGAGCTGAAACTGGCATTACGGCAGGCATGGAGGGAATTTTGTATGTAAATGTTTTTAGTTGTATTCAGCTGTAAGATTGTCTTTTTTCTATTAGAGTATACTTTGAAGTATATTGGGTTTTTGGACAAAGAGTGATTCAAGGTCAAACATGAATTGGAGCATATTGTGACAAATGGGCCTATTATTTTAAAGTTTTTGTTGGATTTTCTGTGTGATGGTGGCTGAAAGAACACAAAAGTAATGTCCATACTGTTCAGAAGTTTGGGGTCAGTAAGATTTTTATTTTTTTATTTATTTTAAAAAGAGTAATTGAATGAAGATGTTTATAATTTTACAAAATAATTCTATTTCAAATAAATGCTGTTCTTTCAACCTTTCTATTCATCAAATAATCCTTTGGTTTCTAAAAAAAATTTAAAAAAATAAGCAGCACAACTGATTGATACACTGATAACGATAAGAAAAATGTCTTTTGAGCACCAAATCAGCATATTAGATCACATTACATTTTAAAATAATTGTATATTTCACAATATTACTCTTATTATTGTATTTTTGTTCAAATAAATGCAGCCCTGGTTAGAATAAGAGACTTTAAAAAACATGAAAAAACTTACTGACCTTTTGAATTGTAATGTAAATTGTACGGTGAAAATTATACAGTAGTTTACTAATGTAAAGTTCATACATTCTGCCCAGATTTTTTTACAATGGATTCTCTCTGAAACAGTTAAGTGTAACGGTTAAGGTTCTCTGACAAAAAACTATGATAGAACTGATAGTATAGCAGTCCATTTGCTTTTTCATTGCGAATATAAACGTGTAGGTCTCCTCCTGCCGTCCAGTGGCCGCTATCTCTTGTAGATTGACAACGGAGATTTCTTTTGCCTTGCTGCCTGTCACTTCCAGGTCCTCTTCAGAACTTTGATGTAGTGT